CCATGTAAGTGGAAGGCATAATTTCAAAGCAAAATTCAGTGAAATTCATCTGTCTAGGGCATGCAAAACCATAGGATTCAAGTATACAAAGTCACAGGTAGCCCTCCTTAATTTGAGAATAAAATCATAGTTCTTCAGCAGACCCTGCTAAATAAAATCCTGTGTGTTAAAAAACAGTTATTGGGGCTGGCCCGTGGCTCACTCGGGAGTGTGTGGTGCTGACAACACCAAGTCAAGGGTTAAGATCTCCTTACCGGTCATCTTTAAAAAGACAAACAAACGAACAGACAAAAAAGTTATTGGGATTTATGACCAACTGGAAAAAATATAAATCCTAATAAAAGCTATATAAATTAAACAAACGAAATGCTTGGCGAACACCAAACCAAAATGCATCTTTTATGAATTAAATTTGGTTAGCAAGGCTGTCAGTTTGCAACCTTCATTGGATGTATTAATTGACAAATTCCACATGGAAAGGGACTGTATGCAGTCTTGTTTGCTTTGATATCATCAGCTCTTAGCAAGGTGTCTGACATCTAGTAAATGTTCAATAAGTATTTGAGGAATAAATGAATGAGCAAGTGAATGAAGTAAACCTTCATGCATCTTATTTTCTACAGTGTGATTCTTCAAAGAATTGTACAGGATAGAGAGGTTTTATATTTCAGCAAGGACCTAAAACATAGATAAATCTCTTTTACACATTAAAAGCAGATCGGTATGAATTAAAAAGAGGTACACATCCTTTTAAGAGAATCAAGGAACCTGATAAAGGGTTAGAATTTTGTCCCAGAAAAAAAAATGTTGTGAGGCTCAAATGAGAAAATAAAATTAATGTATTTGTAGAATGCCAAGACCTACATATGTGTAAATGTTTGTTTATAGGCCCCTTCCAAATTTTTAGGCCTCTTCCAAAAGTCCCCAACCCTTCCAACTGTTTGATTTCTCCATTATACTTCTGAAAGTTTGAGCTAGAGTATCACCTCATCTCCATGCTAAACACTATATGATTTTATTTCCTTTTGCCTGGGGTATTTTAATAACCCGTTTTTATTCTTGTTTTCCCTGTCTGTTTCCTCCCCTTGGGGTTCATGCTTCATAGTATAGAGGAGCAGTAAGGTCCATAGAATTTAGGTTGAAATACAGATTCCACTTACTAACTGTTTGATATTAAAGTAGTTATATTACCCTAATTTAGTTTGAGTATCCTCACCTTTGAAATGGGAGTAATAATACTATATTCCATCTTCGATTGTTGTAAGATTTAAATGAGCTAATCTATGCAATGCACACAATAACCACCACATAGTCAGCAGTTGATCTTATCATGATTATTTGTTTGATTATTCTAATCATGATTGTTATACCAGAATGATCTGTCTAAAGCCTAAATCTGACCCTGACCATCCCTACTTAAAACTTTCAATAATTTCCAGAAGCCTAGATGCAGAGTATGTAACTCTCTTGATAGTGCGGCCTCAACTTCTCTTTTCACCCTTGTCACCAACCATCCCTCCTTTCCATCCTTTATAATCTGATCAGTCACATCTAGGTTTAGTTTTCCCAGCAGACTACGTTTTTTCATGTCTCTAAGATGTGGCACATGCTGTTCCCTTTTCTGGTATGACCCCTTCCCTGCTCTGGCAAAAAGCTTTCTCCTCCTTCAAGTTTCTCCTTCTCTGGAAACTATCTCTACCTCTCCCTGGTAGAATTAACAACCTTTCTACCACTATATAAATGATCTAGAGATACACTGAATTTACTTATATTTGTGTCTATCTCGTGGATTAGTCTGTGAATTTCTCTAGGTCAGGAACCCTCTTTAAGTTCAGCTCTAAGTCCCAGAATGCCCACAGCACAGTAAAGATATATGCTATTTAACAAATGAACAATCGCCTTGCCCTAACGCCTCTCGCCTAACATGTGCTCAATGACATTTGTCGAATTGCATTTACTGAATTTAATTTAATTCAAACAACACTAGCTCCTTCAGAACTCAGACCTGCTGGCTAACAGAAGTTAGACCCGCTGGGTATTTCAGGTCCTGCTCAGGTCACTAATACGAGCTAACATGCTGACAATTTAAGAAAAGGGTTTTCCTTACTAGAACCTAGAAGAACAGTGGGACTTGAGGCTGTTGGCCCTAGAAAAAGGACTGCCTGCCCAGAGCTGCTGCCTTATCCCTTGCTTCCTTCAGCTCCCCTCCCAAGAGAGAAACGAGTGGATGAGCGGAGAAAAATGAGGGAGAAGAAAAGTTGGCCCTCCCCTACTCCTCCCCCTCCCACAGAGAAGGTCTACACCAAGCCTGGTGTCCTAAGACGCTACCCAAGGGGAACTGATTCTTGAAATCCTCAAATAACGTACCGACTTTCCTACTCCTTCTCTGACTCCCCATCTCCACCCCTCTCCCTCCCCCTCTCCACCCCCCCCCCCCCC